TTATAAACAGCAAAAGGCAGCCCAAAAACCTCAGAAGAATACTCTGTCCTTCCAAAATAACGAAATCTACAAAATCCGTGACAAAGTGTAAAGATCCGCGATGTGGCACATGTTCTGTTTTAAGAGAAGGAACGTCATTTAATTTCAAAGGAAAAGATTTCTTTATTAATTCAGACATGACATGTGAGTCCAAAAATTTAATATATGTTATTACTTGCGGAGGATGCAACCAATTCTACATCGGTGAAACGGGGACCACATTGAGAGCCAGAATTCGCGTGCATAAACAGCATATTCAAGTTCCTGAGTACCGTAAGATCAAACTCAGCGAACACATTGATAGATGCGGACAAGGACAATTTAAAGTGTTCCCTTTTTATAAACTTTTTCAAGACAATATAACTGAAAGAAGAGAAAAAGAGAAATATTTCATTCAAAAATTTAATCCGAGTCTTAACAGTTTGATTTAATTTGATTTCTGACAAAACTTTCACACAAAGTGTAACCTTTCAATGTTCTCCGGCTAAGAGTATAAACACATGTCGGATTTGGTTTCAAAGGTGTGAGCAAACTGCAAGCATTTAATTGTTTGTTGTCAGATTCAATTATAGATAATGATTTTTAAAGTATTAATAGTTTTGTGAGACATTGCAGTCAGGATAAAGTATGCATTTGTAAAACGTCTGAAGATGTAATGAGAGCGCTAACGTTTTTAACTGTGTTGCCTTTTTTATTTCAATTTTACCTACTGAGTATATAAAAACCGGACACTGTGAAATTTTCGAATTTGGATATATATATATATTTATATATATATATATATATATATATATATATATATATATATATATATATATATATATATATATATATATATATAAAGCACATTTTACAACAACTCTGACATATATATAAAGCACATTTTACAACAACTCTAACATAACTGCCCTAAGTGAAGAAATATTAATGCAGAAAGCACAAAGAAATTCACTTTTACATAGATACCCACTTCCGCCCTAGCCCGGGGTTGAACTCTAGACCTTAGGAATCTGTCTCCTAGCAGTGGAAGAACATCGCGCTAGTCCGCTCGGCTATCTAGGCAAGTCAAAAACTTGCTTTCGATGCCGATAGAATTCTCGCAGCGCTGCCCTACACTACACGGTCAATGAGAATAGATGTGAGATACAGTTATTTGGACATTAGTTTTAACAGAGGATTGTTACCAACACATGTTGTAATAAAATAAATTATCATTTATAAAGCTCATTTTACAACAACTCTGAAACTAACATAACTACCCTAAGTGAAGAAATATCAATGTAGAAAGCACAAAGAAATTCACTTTTGCATGGATACCCACTTCCGCCACAGCACTTCGACCTTCGGAATCTGTCTCCTAGCAGTGCAGGAACGGCGCGCTAGTCCGCTCGACTATCTAGGCAAGTCATATATATATACTTGTATATATACTTAAAACAATCGCTGTCCTAATAATGAATCCATTTTAATCACCAAAAATTGTCGATAATTCCATTGCGCACCTTAAATGTTCTTCGTTGATATTGAAAGATCAATTAATAATACATTGTACTTAACTGATAAGCATTTCCTTTATAATTAAAGGCGTTATAACTATGCACATTTACTCCTGAGATACTTGAAGACACAGACTTTAGTACTGGGCACACTTCCTGCAATTAAATTATTTTGGTCATCAACGCACAGAGCATGTGGATCTATCGATGGGTATGTAAAAATATTTTGTTTTGGTATGAAAGTAAGAAACCGACCGTCCTGGTCTAGCAAATGGATATTGAATTCATATTCAGGGATCAGTTGAGATATGTTTCCGGAAAAGAGCCATGCTCTCAAATGTATTACATTGCAAAGAGCACCCACGATAATATTTCTATTAACATCTGTGCAGATTCCATGGGGCCAAAAATCTAGCATAGAACGATTACCGGAGTATGAGAACCGATACTCTCCTGTTCCGGTCAGCACCCGAACTCTCTTTGCATCATAATCTGATGTACAAATATCACCATTGATGTTCTCAGTGAGGTAGCTTACACTTGAGAATAGATCTTTTCCTTTCTCATTTTTCTGAATGTCTTGTAACTTTATTCCTTCTTTGTTATATCTGGTTATTTTCCATGTTTCAAGTTTATTCATCCCCACAAGTATGTCTCCATTTAAATGAGAGGAGCAGATAGATCTTGGCTCCCAGTCTCCTGTGAGGACTAATGCTGTGGTTGACATATCATTATTTACTTTGTAGACGGTTTTCTTTATATAATCTGTGTAAATTAAATCGTCGTCATTTGTAACTGCGTGGTATCCTTTTATTTGTTTTTCTGTGAATATTTTCTTTTGTGCATTTCCATGCATGTCAAATTGAATGAGATTCCCAAAATCATCACTTGCCCAAAACCTGCTAGATCGAACTGCTGGTGATAAATGAATAACTGCTTTGAGTCCAGATATATTAAATTGTCGTGTTTTGGAAATAGATCTGGATAGCACCACACTTAGTTTTTGATATGGTTTGGAGTTAAATTGATGTATTGATGCCTTTATTGTTTCAACTTCTTTCAGTCTTTCTGCACGTGGTTTTATGTGGCCAAAAATCGATTCTATTTCTTCCTTTATCTTTCTGCCATTTGTAAACATTGGAATGCCAGGTTCAATTATTTCAGGATATTTCATCAGAGGAATGTTTTTACTTTTTTTATTGTATCTTATAATTTCTGTTAATTGACATGATGAAAGATCACTAGTGTAGTCCTCGATCAATCCGTTCAGGTATGAGATATAGTCTTTTAACTTTTTCTGTTCCTTTATTTTCTCATCTAAAATTGATGCCTCTATTATGTCTAACTTGGCATTGTTTTCAGTCAGAATACTGTCCACTATCGATTTAATCTCATCTGCACTGTGTTTAATAGCTAATCTGACTTTCCATATCTTCTTCTTGGCCTCTTCAGCTACCTGTATTTGTGAGTTTACTTCATCTATACATTGAGGAAGAATGTTGTCTCGGATCTTGATAAGTTCTTTCTGGCATTGTTGAAGACTTACATTATATACAAATTCAAGGCCAAGTACCTGGTGGCCATTGTGATCTGTCGCAAAGCATTTTGAACAAACAGGGGCGGAACAATCAGCACAGAATATCTCTAAGATTTTTGTTGGATGGACAGGACATTTTTCTGTAGGCAACTCTTTTAACCTTTCCTGATAAAGGACTACCTGGTGTTTTCGGTTTTCTTTTTCACGGAGATGGACATATCTACACTGCTCACATAATCGCTGGTGACAGGTGTTGCAGTAAAATGTGGAGTAGTTCTTACACGTGGCACACTCAATGTAGTGTTGCTCTGTTACATTTCCCTTACTCATAATTGCGGGTAGTATTGATCTGAAAATATGAATTATACTGAAGTTTTTAATAAAATTTCAACGACTTTATAAACATTAGAAGCTTCAAATTTATCTGAGTTGATCTTGAACTTAACACAAAATATAGTAATTAGGAATAAATTCTTTTTCACTGTACATTTTGAAACAAAATCATGATAATATCTTAACAAAGAAGGTAATCATATATTTTCCACTTACCAAATGGCATTATGCTCATGATAACTGTTTCATTTCTGGTCTAACTTGTTTGCAATTTGAAAAGCTTGTTTTATAGTGGTTTATTTACCCACTATTAAAGAAAAAATATATTTAAACCCCTTCTTTGCGATAAGAATGAAATCAATTTATTTCTTCTTGCTGAGAGAAATGAGTACTTGCATAGGAACGCTGGTATGTCGGTCAAGATACGTACATGTACGGGCTCTGATTCACCAGTCTGACATTACACATCTATTTTGTGTACCCTAGCTTAATTAGGTACACATAGTTACACCTGTATCTTTGTTTGATTGTGAGATATAAGGTTGACGAAACTTAACATTATTCAACTAAAACGTCAGGGTTAGGGTTAACACGAAATAAACTTTAAATCTTTCAAAAACATATTCTGAGTCATATGGTTTACGGAGAAACAGATCGAGTTCTTTACATGTACACAGTTTATATTTAAAAGTGATATCCTAATTAGCAGAAGTTTTATACGCCCAACAATTTCTTCAATATATACACATAAGACTTTTTAAGAATGTTTTTAAAACATAAAGTCAAAATTAAATCCTTGGTTTTCACTTATTTAAAAATACACCTGATTATAATGTGTCTTCTCAATTACATGGACAAAAACTAATGTTGAATATCGTCTACAAGTAATAATCGAAGCTGCATTATATGACAGGCGCTATTATAAACTGCCCGGCTGCCAATTTATAAGTAAAAAAAGTTCAACGGAACTTGAAACAGTAAAATATTAATAACTTTATATAAATGAGAGTCTGCAATTTTCATTTCATTGAAATTTTGTTTGTAAAAAAAACATTGAATCCAATAATATCCAGTGTGTTTTTTTATGTTTCATCAACTTATTTTTGCTTACGGGTATCCTCAAAAAAAGAAAAAAAAACATATGAGTTGCGTCAAGCGAAAAGGGACCTTCGTGACAAAATTTTAAAAATTTACTTTTTTTATTTTCTTTGAAGAGGAAGTCCAGCTGAGTATTTTGATACCAATATTTGTATCTTTTTCGAAAAATAAACCTACAAAAATCGTATCTGAAACAAAGTGATGAATTTCTTCTTTTAGCGTTATGAACGTTGTGTAACGTCAAAAAACGTCATTTTCCCTGTAAAACAAAAGACTAGATACGTGTCATTGTTTTAAAATTAACCAATGAAGAAGAATTTATTTATAACCAATTCTTAAAGCTTGGTAATTGTAACGAATAAGAATTCTTCAAGTAAGGAGTTGCAAGTACAAAAAAAGGAACATCTATTTAAATATAGATACATGTATGTAATATTACTGTAAGATTTCATTCAAATATGGCAACAAAAAGTTCAAAGTCCATTAACTGGTGCATTTCATTCCTCGGGATTTGGACATGTCATCTCCTTGTAAGGATCCCTGACAAATGGTCTGACCATACGGTAGAGGTACTGTTGTCGCTCAGGGGAAATTCCTCCGGGTGGTATTATTTCCGGCATCACGGCAACTGTTGTAAAATCTTCTGGTGAAATAGAAGACTTCAGCAACTCAATTTCCGTTTCTGCGTCGTCCACGCTTTCTTTAACGTATACTTTTCCTGTGAAAATAATTTTAAATTTATATATACCCCTTAAAATCAACACATGCATATTTAAAAAAAGTCACAGGATTTTTTTTTCCTTAAAATCCTACCAGGAGATGAGGAAGAAAATCGGAAATGATGGAACTTCCTTATGCCTCTCACTGGAAGAAAGTACTGGGAAACAAAGGCCTTCCAATCGAACCATTCCCAGCAGTGCTCTCCCGCCTCGTTCAAATATGTAACTGCGGTATTTGATTTGGCACTCTTGTTGACGACATCCACTAGTCCAGATAGACTGTCAACATCAGTTCTGTGATAGAGACGCTTAATGTTTGCAAACCCAGCATCCACTAGACAACGACCGTGATAGGGCACTTGCATTGAAAGGGTAATATTGTTGTGAAGGCCTAACAATGTTCTCCATGACAGATAGCCCAGGACATATCTGTTTTTATTCTCGCCTATAGAAAATAAATGACAAAATATATATACTTAGTACAATGTACGAAGTCTTAGTTTAATTAAGAAAAAAACCTATCGTACACGCTGTCATTTTCCACTTATTCTAATTAATTATATGAAAATAATTAATAAAAATGAATACGTGTAAAAACATGCATATATGAATATCAATTTATAATGTTTTGAAACATTGATTTACCAGCACAATTATCACAATGGATGATGCATTCTTTTTCACCAGATCCAAACGTTGTAAGGCAGTGATGAAGCATGGAAATAACGCCGTTCGATCCTTTCACTCCAGCTCCATTTTCACCCATTCCCTGGTCTTCGTCAACAACATAATTCATCTGGCTGTAATTTCCCTCTATGGCAACTCCAAAAAGTTGCACTTTTCTTGGCGTCAAAAAATAAAGTGGCCCCTCTTGTCTTGCATGATGTGGAATGGAAAGTGCTTGCGAGAAGTCAAAGGTATAGTGGACATGCTGAAGATCTGTTGAACAGGAAGGAAGCAATCCCTCTGGTCTAACAAATGCCCCCATCTCCTCTCTCGCTTTTTTCACTGCATCGTTATACGCCTGAAAAATTAAATTTCATGGGAAAAGTCTTATAAATTATGTTAAATGAATTATGATGGTTGAGTGAGACATTATATCAAAGCAAACTCTTACCTGTCGCTCCATTTCAACCTTAGACAAGTGTTCTGTGAAAATTCGCAGTTCCTCTTGCTTCTCAGCTAGCCCAACTGCCGTTGAAATTTTGGCTCTACAATCTTCACATCTTGGACATATATCCGAGCGGGGCGTCATATATTTAATATGGGGACAGCATTCTTTCCACAGAAGTTTGAAGGTAGTTAGCCCAACTTTCCTCTCTCCCAGCTCGTCACAAGAAGCAGAATACGAAGAATGGAGTGATGTTTTGCTGCCAGATGAAGGTAAAAAAGTTACAGGGATACTTTTGTTTTTTACTGTCGGTTGTGGTAATCCAAATTCTTCAGCGTAATTCTGAATATAGTCGATCGCTCGTTTAAGGTCGTCGAACTTAAAGGCATTTGGTGGGCGTCTGCTCTTGTTTTTGTGGGTACGAGGTACCTGTCCATTTTCAATCATGTGAGACACTAGATTTTTAACGTATTTGGACCCAACACCATGTACGAAAAGAAAGGCTCCTTTGCAAACTTCTTGATTTTGGGAATAGTACGCATACTTCTTTCTTTTCCTCTCCTCCCCACGCTGTGTATGAATGCCAAACCCAACACACGCCAGTCTTCCCATGATGAAGATATCTTTTTCATCTTTAGTTAGTTCAGTTGTGGTCAGTATTGAGTTTTGTATTTCTTCTATGGCTACGTTTTTAGACAGTTTTTGTCACATGAACATGCTTTACTAATGTTTTCTTGTAAACTTTGAAGATCGTTAGATCCATTACATTCTATATCTTCTTCCTCCTCACTGTAACTCTCTTCATTGTTGTCAATGACGGAGTTTCTACCAAATCTGTCTATCTTGTCCCTGATGTCGTCTTGTTGAACAGATTCTTTGTCGATGTCGTCGTCACTGTCATCATCATTATCCCCAGGTACATTTTTCTCGCAGCTGTTTTTCGACAATCCGGTGGATCTACATGCATGAGGAAAATAGTCATCATCCAAGTGTTCCAAATCCTGCAAAAGGGGTAGATCAGGATTAAAACAACAATATATGACATAAATTATTTGCTGGAAACATTGTGGTAAAAGAAATATGTCGAGTTGTCGAATAAATTTATTTATTTATTCTTTAATCACTTGGATTAATGCATCTCTAAATACCACAGAAGTATGTCGGAGACACAGGCACCAAACTCGCTTGAATTTTTGACCCCCTAGTACTAAGGAGTCAAAAATTCGAGCGAGCTTGGTGCCTGTGGTACATGTAGGAGATATTGCCAATTAGGTGCGTACATGTAAAACAATTAACGATCAAACCAATGACATACACCTTTACTAATTTTATTATATCTTCTTACATTGATGTATATTATTTAATATTTATTACATTGATTTATTTTAAGATATTAATCGAATGAATTGAATTTCGTGAGCTGTTTATACAAATTGAGTCGAGTATATTTTAAAATTAATTTAATAAAGAGTATAATTTTTTATAATAAATATTTTCAAAGAACGTATGAAGATTTTATAAAATAAAATTAATATAGTTGTCAATTAATTCTAGAAAACTTAGGTTTAATATATTAATTTTAAAAAAAAACGAAAAAAAAAATTAGCCATGGAGTACATGAGGGATCGAACCCGGATCGCACGATCAGAAGGCGAGAATGTTACCTCTACGCCACGCTCGCACAGCAATTCCGGCGATTAAACAATTACACTTCATTTGCAGCAAAGAAAAAAAATAAATTTTCGTAAACAACAGGTAATCAGCATTCAAAATAATAATTTATAAGCCCTCCATTAATTCTTTTCTTATAATTTTACTTTCATTTACTTATAACAAGAGTTATATAATCAATATTACGGCAATATTGCATTTAGTGTTTATAAAATGATGTAAATGATCTCTGTCGTCTGTATTCCATTAACAAAGGCCGATGTTACGAAATTACTACAGTTTTTATCTTGTAAAATTTTTTTTCATATATTACATTTTATAACTTTTATTTACGAAGTTGTGACTACATGAGAAGGCACTGTAAATGTTCTATAACTGAGGAAGTTTCCACTCTGTACGCTTCCTGCGCGTATTATATATTTTATGTCAATACCTCATTACATGTAGCACAGGAGTCGGCAATTTTGTCAATAGAATAGATAGAAAATAATATGGTAAACAGGCATAAATTTTACCAGTGAGCTTTGCAAGCGTATGCTCGCGAAGCTCACTGGTAGGATTTATGCCTGTTTACCATTATTTTATTTTCTATTTATTGACAAAATTGCCGACTCCTGTGCATATAGCCATGTGCATACAAGTACATGTATATATAGACTTAATTAGTGCATAATTTAGGGACAGCAATAAGAAAAACATAAAAATATCATTTTAACTACATTACCTTAAGATCCATGAGATGGCAAAGGGTTCAGCTTATCCTCTCTCTAGAAATCAGTTGTGAATTTAGTTAGGCTAAATCACGTTAAAAAATCATTTTTACGGTAACAGTCGGCTGGAACGTCGTGACTTTAGAGATCGATTATGACGTTATTCTATTCACGTCACGAAGGTCCCTTTTCGCTTGACGCGACTCATATACAAAATATCCGACGTTGTCATAAGTTAGTTTGATTACAATTTTTGACAGTCTCGTGATTCATGAGAAATCATCGTGTAAATAGTTGTTATTACTAGATAAGGAGATAGCAAAGAGCATTCAAGCTCAAAAGTCCATTCACACCGTACAAAACAGGAGCAGAGCAACCACGGATATCCACAACATTAGAGGTGGGATTAAGTTCCATGGAGGAGTAAACATCCCCTACCGACCTGTCACATCCGCCGTTTACTCCTTTTCATGATCGACAAATAGCGGAAATTCCATTGTCAATTCAGTGTGCAAATACTGGCCTAACATTAATAATGAGAAACGTCAGTCATCATCTGACTTTGTCAATAATGAATTGTATTTGCTAACAAGGCCATTGTATCGACCATAATACTTACGGAATGATGACTTTAAACGAATCTACTGATATTATTGTTTCATCAAGAAGGATATGAAGATAATGAACAATATTCAATCTTAAAGTCCATAAAACAATACAAAATAGGAGCAGAGCAAACAAGAACCTCCGAAACATCAGAGGTTTGTCAATAATTTAACTTATTTAGTCATTGTACGAGGGTTGTCCGGTATTATTGTGGACAAATTGTCTAGTTTGAAAAAAAGCACTACTTTCTGAAATTTTCGCTACTCTTTATTACATATATTATGAATACACAAAGCAAATTTCAAATAGAAATAAACAAATTATTAGCTTTTTGTTATGTATTCTATCGCCCTAAGGCGCACGGATCATAATGTTAAAGTGTAGATCTAAAACAGCGTCACTTTTCATTAAGCATTTTCATTGCTAAAAATGAAATTGGATAAGTCCCACTTAAATTTAGAAATTCCATTGATTCACATACGTGAGTGTCTATAACCATTAAAGGTACCAATCTGGTACATACATGCGATCCTTTAAAGATTTATAGTGAAGTTACGGACAGTATTCTCACCAAAATTCAACTAACATACAACCTCATATCAACGGTCGACATTGACAGCATCTTTTGCTATTACAATAGCAGTTTATCCGTACATTTTGTACTAACTTGGGACTCAATCAAAACGATTTCGCTAAGGAAACTTCCATTTTATTTATATACTAAAGAATTGGTGATTTTTGTCATATTTTCTTATTCTGTATTCATTAAAAGTCTTTTAAGGTGTCATGACAACATCCAAATCTAACAGAACTGTTCTCCGGTGCGCTGTTACGTCATCAATAATCGCGATTTTTCGTGTATTGTGTTTACCACTTTCCCATTTCAAATGCTCGGGAAACTGCAAAAAATAACCAAATGCCTTGATTTTTTTATGGAGACGACAAAATTTATAAAGAAATCGAATTATGTTAATTTTCATCCCAATTGTATGTATTGAAAACTTTTATTAATTATTAATTCTTGTGTATCCTCTAATGTAACCTTGATATTTTTATCGTGCACCGTAGGACCGTACCCTGTGTACATTCAAACATAATAAAATTTTTATTTTTGTCTATATATTATCAAAAACATATTAACGCATTTAAATATGATGAATTAATATTTACTGAAAGTTTCAGCTTAGTTCGCTCATTACTTTTCGAGAAAAACAATTTGTACACGATTTTACCACATCGCTCGTACATACATAGAACATGCTTTCAAATAAAAAGAAAATCAACTAGGCTTTTTTGACAAGATTCATAATTTTAATTCAACTTTAGAGAAAATGGACTTTGAACGTACAAGTGTAATTTAACCTTCACATGTACCCATATTTCCTTGTTTTAGGAGAAAATTCTTCCAAAATCTTTTATAAATTCGAACAATATTCTATCAATTAAGTTTATTTGAAATTACCTACACTAGATTCATGCACGTAGCATCGTTTTTGAAAGTGGGGGGCCAACCACCAGAGAATTTTTTTTTTACTTACCTGAAAAAGTTGACAAGCAAAAAAAAAAAAAAAGAAACGGAAAGTTTATAGTTGCCCAAAACTCGAAAATCATATTTCGTGGGGGGGGGACTTTTTGAAAACCGAGTTACTTTCATTTCTAATTTTTTCCCACAATTCTTTGATGTCATTATACTATGGTCAAAGTTGGGGGGGGGGGGGCAACTATCTCTTCAATGAACATTTTCTATAGTAAAGGTTTTGTCGGCCCCCCTGTTGCTACGTCCCTGAGATTCCTTTTTGACAAAGATGCGGAGACAGCCCCAGTTAATATTCTACCAAGCCTCTTTCATCACTCATCATTAGAATATTACCAGCAGGAGAATACTGTTAAATCACATATTTTCGAGAGGTCTTTTTTTCGAAACTTATGCAACTATTACCCCATTATAAATGAAATACCAGGATTTTTGACTTGAAAACAACTGCATTTTCAATTTAAATGAAATCGTAAATTTTCTAACCTTGTCATTGGTCATTTGCAAAATATTTGTTTAAAAAAACATTCTGATTATAGACAAAGAACTACAAATCACATCGAAATGATGCTTGCAATATGCAGCTTTTGGCAATGGAGTTAAAGTCATCAACCAACATGACGGGAATTCCATTGGGTTTTTTTCTGGGTGCACACCATGTACTCTAAAGTCGATATTTGAAAATTAAAGCTACTTAAAACGGCTGGGTGGTCGTGGCCGTTTTTAGACTATTTTGATCTCCATTAGAGGAAGAGCTCCATATAAAGATATAATAAAATGTTCAAATTTTATAGCTAAAATTAATGAAATTTTTCTTTGCCAAATGATAGTTGATCAGCTTAAGATATCATATCCCAATTTAAGTTATATTTGGTGGTTAATAAAATAAATAATTAGTTGACCTCCTAGCCTCCATACGTTTCTGATTGATATATAAAGATTTTAGAGGTCATGTCCTCCAATAATTTGTCGGACATAATTGTCGGACATAACATGGGCACCAATTCTGCCCGGCTATTAGCAGACCTATTTTTGCATGAAACGAAGCAGGTTTTATTAAAATAAAGACGACACTTGCTGCGGCCTGTAACTCGACATTTTGCTAGAAGAACGTACGTAGATATACGACAACGTATTATCAAATAAGAAGTTTCTTCTATTCATAAACCGAAACAAGAAGTACTTCGATGACAACAAACTTTTTCACATCGTGGGATTTCAGTCGATTCAATGTGTGTGAGCCCTACTATACCTGTCAGAAATGAAAAAAATATAATTTCTAAACATATCTTTAGATATATACCAGACAAAATTGCTAACGCACTTCTTGATGTTCTTATTTGTGAATTAAACATTTGCCTTATTTTTAATTATGTATCGAATATTATATATTTTTCAGTACAGTTGAATTCACAAATATTTTGGTGCTATAACAAGACCATTGAATGGCCATCTTGCCCCAAACCCAATTTCTCGACGTGCACTGCGCACCGTTTTTGTACAAATGTGAATTTGGTGACTACCGATGGTGCACCCGAGAAGTTGTATCAGGAGCAGTCTACCAGTTAGAAATACAGTAATATACATCAATTGACTATCATATAGCCTAGTATCTATCCAGTGCCTTGGAATCTATACCAAGTCCACGCAACTTCCAGTTGTCCCAATTTTGTGGAACAATCTAAGAATTCCGTGTGGTGCTAAGTAAACGTAACGCCATTACTATCTATTATAAACATTTTTATGTTTGTAAATATATCTTCAAAAAATTTATTAGAGGGATTAATTATTTTTCAGTTAGTTAATTGTTTTGCAAAATTATCTAAAGGAACCCGTTCTGAACGTCATACTTATTGCTTTAGCACGCTTTTCAAAGGTCAAACGCCGCATTTCTATTAATTAGATCAAACGCAAAGAAAACACACACAAAGAACAACAATGATATATTCCTCCAAAAAGGTATAGGCACGATTTTCATTTTTTCTATGAAATGGTTACGCTTCAGTAAGTTTTGCAGTTATTCTTTAGTGGAGACATTTAAAAACCTCATTTTCTACTAAAATACAATTTTCATATACCATTTACATCATAGACAAGTTTTAAAAATTAAATTTTAATTTTCTTTTCTTTGGTTGTGCGTTCTACAACTAGGAATTCTGTCTAGTGTATCAAGTTTAAAAGCACAAAGTTCAACGCGCTCTTTATTTCTTCTCAAGCTTTTAGGTAGGTTTTGATATCATTTCGGGGTTTCGTACCATGACAAAAAGTAAACACGAGTTGTAATTGATTTGCCGGCAATTCTTAGATGCCGACAAATCTAATATACCGGCATGTCTTATTCTACATACCTTTTTAAAATGCCAGATGATGAAGAGGTTTCAAAAATCGAGATTAATTAATTTGGAAAACAGCTTAATAAAAAAGAAGAAAAAATTATACTCGATACATTGCGCATGACACATCAAAACGAGGTCAAGTTACTGAAATGGCTAAAAAGAAGTACTTCTCCTAAATTAAAAAAAAGTCTATTGGAGGGGTTCAATACTGGCTGGGATATTTTCACTGCCGTTATAAAATCAATTATAGAAAATAAAACATTTTTCGTGTAACATACATCGAACCTTCTTGATATATACGAGGTATTCATACGCAAAATATAACCGCTCTTCATCCTAATTTAAAATGGAAATAGAAGTTCGTTATTCATAGTATTAGACTGAGATGTAGCATGATTTAGATGAAAATTTATAATACAAATTCAGAAAATTTCTGTATTCTCATGATCACACTTCTATGTGTATAGTAGTTTATGAACCCGGGAAGATTTTTCTAAACATCTGATCAATTGACTGCATGTAGCTGGACCGTCACTCAACAGGCAGCATG